TTCCAGGCGCATTTCCTGAAAACCCTAAGCGGAGTTAGACTGCTGCCCATATTTCCACCATGGCACCAGTTTTGTGATCACTGTCCTTTCAGGGCTGCCCTCCTCCACCACCATACCCAATGAGCTCACTGCAGACAATGGCAGGGCCTCTCCTCTGAGATTTCCAAAGTCCAGGAAGGGCCTGGGACCAAGGAGGAATTGCCGAGCAGGTGGCTGGTCAGATTTACATGTAATGCTTAGAGCTTTAGTTTAGACTTATTCAATGGAAAGCCAGACTGGCTCATTAGAGAGGACAGTAGAGGCCACATTTTGGAAGTTTCTCCATTTGTATCTTTCTAGGTCTGAAGCCAAATAGCACAAGCATCTGCTCAAGTCTGTTGCAAGATATACAGACAACCTCCCTTGTGTCCGTCAAGAAGGTGGCATCCCCATTGGGAAACTCAGCAAATATCTGTCAAACAGCCAAAGAGTTGAGTCACTGCTTTGTTAGCACAAGCATCTGCTCAAGTCTGTTGCAAGATATACAGACAACCTCCCTTGTGTCCGTCAAGGGCAGCCCCATTGGGAAACTCAGCAAATATCTGTCAAACAGCCAAAGAGTTGAGTCATTGCTTTAAACAGACAGGAGGAGGGATCAGAAGTCCTAAGGGGCCTGGGCCTCAGGCAACAGTGCTGGTGAGTCACAGGAGGACAGGGACAGACAGATAAGGATAACCCTGCGGATTCAGGTGGCCTTCCTGTGCCGCAGACCTGTGCCTCTCCTCCCCTGGGTTCCCAGGCAGGCACATCCGGGGACAAGGACAGCAAACTCACCTGTGATTCCACAAGAAGGCCATCTGCAGGGGTAGCCGCAGCCACCAGCAACACCTGGACAGACCCCTGGCACATGACTGCCACCTGCTCACCCAGGCACCTTCTCTGCTCTCAGTTTCCTCCCATCCTAGTAGGGGAGACAGTGGCAGGAGAGTGTTGTGACCCAGGAATATAGAGTTCGCACATGTGTGAGGGACGGCGGGCACTCTAGAAGCTTTCACACTGACCCAAAACCCCAGTACATACGTGTGCACCTACACCCACACAGACATGCACACAGACCATTGGAGGGTTGCCTTCCATCGGTTGTGTGCATTTCCTGCCTTTCATTCCCTAGACATAGCTTTTCCATGTTTCTTCATCCCATTGAATAAGCACAAGTTGGGACCAAATATAGGGTGAATGTTTAAATTTTTAAAAAATTATGATAGTAAAAGACACATTGCCACAAACCCTACTCCCAATTCTCAACCTCCCATGGTTTTTGGTGCTTTCTGAAGCAGTCCTGGAAGTCCTCTTTGGTGAGAGTCCCTGTTGCATTTTTATGGCTGCCTCAGTGTTCTGAATTGATTCAAAGTGTTTATTGTTCATGATCGCTTTGACTTTGGAGAAGAGCCAGGAGTCACACAGTTTCAGATCTAGTGAATAAGGTGCATAAGGATCCACTGGAAAGTTTTTATTTGACATAAATTGCCATAAATGTTGCGAATCAATGCAGGTTAATGAGGCAGGCACAAAAACACTCAGAAAATGGCCTGGACAGTGGCAAGAACAACGGGGCAAACACATTTCAAGTGTGGGGGATGATTTTTGAAAAAGGTGTGTCTTTTACTATAATAGCTGTTTTAATTTTATTCAGACATTCACCATATTTTTGACCACATCTCATTGATCAATCTGTGACAGCAGAGGGAGAAGGTTGCAGTGCATGACACTCTAACTTCAGATCCTACCTCTACCTCTTCAGTCCTGTGTCGTCTTGGGAAATTTTCCTGACCAATGTCCACATCTGCACAGTGAGAATGATAGAAGTTACCTACTTAAAGGAGACTGGGAAGGTGAAATGAGTTACACATTGAAAAGGCTTTTAAAGCACATGGCACGTAGCAAGACCTCAGTAAGGTCAGCATTATTATTAATGGTTTTATGGATGTTCTTTAAGGTTATTTGAAAGTGGGTCATTGCTATGTCAACTTTCTAGAAAATTCTATGAATATGAGCAGAGAGGTCTAAGTAAGTGGGAGGGTTCCAAGTTCCTCCCACTGAGCCTCATAGGTCAGTGCTGACCCACAAGATCTATCTGACCCCAAGCACTCTGCTGGTCAGGAGGAGGACTAGCAAAGTGACTTTGCTTAGGACTTCATCCACCAGGCACTTCATTTTTCAAAAATGATTAATAATTAACTGAGCATTTTTATGACTCTTGATTGTTTAGGAAAAAAAAATCCAACCTAACTTGGGAAAATGGGAAATATATGCACCACAGAGAACAACTAGAAAATAAGGACAGAGAATACCAAGCCAGTGGCATTTAAGCCTCGGGATGACTCTGTGAAAACTATTCTAGTTTTCAAAGTATAAAGACAGAGTATGAGCGGATGCTGAGTAATGCCCTTGAATGGGGCCCTGTTCCTGCCTCACTCCCAGGGAATGTTCTAGAACTCCCGTCCCAGGAACAGTACTGCAGGTGTATAAGTCAGTAAGAGCCACACAGGCTCAGGCTTCAGGGCCAAAGAATATGCTTCCATCCCATGAAGCAACCTGGAAGAAGGGAATACGAAGGCTTCCTGGCCTTCCACCTCTCTGAGTGGCAGGGACAGTGCAATGCCTCCAGGAAGCTGCACGATGTGGCCCTGAGAGCCCTCCGGTGTGAGGCACTGATCAAGGAGCGTATGACAGGGATTTCTGAATGATGCCAAATGCCAGACAGGAAGAAGAAGGCTGCCTCTGGCACAGGGCCATGCAGCAAGGAACAGGTCTTGCTCCTTCACCCTACCTAATCTCAGCCCCAGCCCCAAACTCCAGGGCCCAAAGAAAAATTAGATTTACATAGCGAAATGTAGAGCTGCATTTCTTGTAGACACTCAAACAAAAACAAAATCAGAAAGCCAAATGGGAAATTAATAGGTAGCACTCATGGTTGGGTGCTTTGGAGTTCAGCACCACCTGGCCTGTCTGCATCTGCTGAGCTCTTTCATGGCCAGGGACTTAGACTCGACTTGCTCAACTGCAAAATAGAGATGGTAATGATAACCCCTCCAAAGGTTGAGTGTGATCTATAAAACATCATGTGTCGAGCTCTACAGGGCCTGTTCCATGCTGCACACTCAAGGGATGTGGGCTAATTTCAGGAGGAGGTGAAGGAGTTGAAAGGAATCTCAGGGCAAGGGTTGGGGGTCTTTGTGGTATGATCCAGGGGAATCCTCTCAGCACATGTGAGGCAGGAACATCACTGATAGGCTGAGGGATCAAAATAAAGGGTTCCCATGAGCTCCATGCCAGAGGAAGATGATGTAATTATGCAGACAAGGGCAAGGATTCTGACATTCAACTGCCTGGGTTGATATTATTTCTGACTAGAAAAGCGTCCATGAGTGAGTTACAGAACCTCCAGTACCATAGTCTCCCCATCTGTACGATGGAGATGATAATAGCTCCTGTCTCACAGAGTTATCACGAGGCTTAAATGAATGACCAGATGCCAAAGCTTCTCTAGCCTTCTCTCGGTCTCCTCCCTGCCATGATAATGCTCACTCTAAACACTCACTATTACTGTTCTAGTTTTGTTCTCATCCATATTTGCCTTTCAACTGCTGAAGCAGAGCTTCAAGTCTGATTTCTCTTCCAACCATGAAACCCACCCCAAATCCAGGCCACCACCAAAGGAAAATCCCACCTAAACATGAAGGCCACCACTATTCAGAGGAAGATTGGGCAGGCTCTCCTCCACACACTCCAGCAATCTCTCTCACTTGTGCATCAGAGAGGAACAAACAGTAAGGGGGCTGCCCTAGCCAAGGTCAGGGATTCAGAGCAACAGGGGACGCTCACTGTGTACAACTAAAGGAGGAAGCCAGAGCAGCTTGTTTGCAGAAGATACTCTGTGCTCATTATATAGTTTGGATATTAACTCCTTATCAGATACATGGCTTGCAAATATTTTCTCCCTTTTCGTGATTTTTTTTGTACCAGGGATCGAACCCAGGGCCTTGCACTTGTGAGACAGGCAGCAGCACCACTGAGCTAATTCCCCAACCCACTCTTCACGCTGTTGGCTACTTCTTTTGCTCTGCCACAAAAGTCTGAGTTTCCTGTGATCCCATTTGTCTATCTTCATTTTTGTTATCTGTATTTTGGGGGATTTTATCTAAAAAAATAATTGTCCAAACCTATGTCACAGACCTACTCTCCTACTTTTTTTTTTTTTTTTTTTAGGACTTTTACAGTTTCTAGTGTTACATATAAGTCGTTTATCCATTTTGAGTTGGGTTTGGGCTATGGTGTGAGATACAGATCAAATTTCATTCTCATACATGTGCATAACCAGTTTTCCCAATACCACTTATAGCAAAGACTATTCTTTTCCCATGGTGGGTTCCTGATATCTTTGTTGAAAACCAATTAACCATGAATGCAATGATTTATTTCTGGGCTTTGTATTCTCTTTAATTGTTTCACGAGTCTGTTTTTATGCCAATACCATGCTATTTTGATTAGTATAGCTTTGTAGTATATGTTCACATCCAGTAATAAATGCCTCAAGCTTTGTTCTTGTTATTCAAGACTCCTTTCAAATAAGTAGGAGGGATAAGTTCAAGAGATTTATTGTATAACAAAATGGCCATCATTAATAGTAATTATGTTAATAACAATTATGTTCATGTATTTATATTTGCAGATTGCAAAGAATAGATTTTTAAGCGTTCTCTCCACAAAAATAAGTGCATGAAGTGAGTAAAACGCATTCATTAGTTCAATTTAGACGTTCCACAATGTTTTTCAAAACATCAGATACATTTTATTTCAATTGCGAAAAAAAAAGATATTCTATGTTCTATGCTCATTTCTTCCTTGAAACAAGTATGACAAAAAAGTAACTTACAACTTGTATTGGTAAGGTCTTTGTCACTTTGATGAAATACCTGACTTCCACAATTTAAAGAAGAAAATATTCATTTGAGCTCATGGTCTCAGAGGTTTCAGTCCGTGGCCTGCTGGCTCCATGGCTCTTAGGCCCATGAGGCGGCAGAAGCACCACGGCCAAAGGGCACAGTGGAAAGAACTGGTTACCTCATAGCGGCCAGGAAGCAGAGAAAGGGAAGGAGCCAGAGAGGAGAGGCCAAGGCCCTGGCCCTGCCATCCACTCCCTTCCACTAGGCCTCACATCCTGCTTTCACATTTCATAGTAATTCAACTGAATTATGACTTATGCTGTCATCAGTGGACTCCTTACTCGATGATATTAGAGTCTTTATAATCCAGCAGCTTTCTGAAAACCCCACCTCTGAGCACACAAAACTGGTGGGGGACATTTTACAGCTAAAACAACACGAAAGTCCCTCTAGTGCTGCCTCGCATAATCTCAAATCTTCACTGGCATACAGTAAACACATGTCTTCTTCGTGTGTCTGTGGGGCAGGTGTCTGGCTCTGCTGATCCAAGCCCGGGCTGTCCAGATCCACTCTCAGGTGTGTGGTCAGAAGAGCCAGGCTGCTCCATAGACTGCTGGAATCGTGGCTCTCATGCGCTGGACGACATCTGGGACACCTGGGCTGACTCAGCTCTACTCTGCAGGGTGCAGGCTCCAGCAGGCTGGCTTGGGCGTGTTTCCGCAGCAAAGCCAAAGGGAGAGGAAAAGCAGAAGTGCTTTGTCAAGCTTTTGCTCATCTCAGCTTTGCTATTATGCCCTCATCCAAAGCAAATTACATGACTGAGCCCCAAAGTCCAGAGAAAAGACAAGAACACCACACCCACATACAATAATAGGTATTGCAAACTCACATAGCGAAGGGGCTAAATCAGGAAGGGGTAAAGAACTCATGTCAACTGTAATCACCTTATCACATACTCCAAAGGAGGTTGCCAACAGTGATTGTAGGGAAGGAGAGAGGAACCTCATAAGCTCTTCTATAGTTTAGTCTCCTGAAAGGAAGATCAGAATCATAGAACGAGGAACTCTCAGGCTGTTGCATGGCATATCCTTTTTACAGAACACACACACAGAATTCAAAGCATCAGTTCTCCCATTCCATTCTTTACTAAAACCATCTTAATATCTCCTCCAATATTTCTAGTCTCACCTTGAATGAGTTGAGATCTGTCTTCAGAGTCTGATCTTTCTAGTGTCTTGCTCCAAGACTTTAACACTTCATGAAATACGTATCCATGTGAAAATAAATGAAAAACAAGTTGAAGGAAATTAAGATTTCTCCTCATTTCAAACAATTTTGCTCCAATTTATAGATGAAAGCTTGCAAGCCCTTATCATTCCCTTCCACCAAGTCAAGGTTAAGACTCACTGGGGAAGTCACAAGTGAAATTATACATGTTGTGGGGCAATAAGTCCCCATTAACCATAGCTTTTGGCTGAAATCTTAGTGCCTCCTCTAGATCCCAGGAAAATAACTGAAGACGGAAAGTGAAACTCCATAATGAAAACTTAGATTTGTCACTGATTATTGGGCCATTGTATGTTTCTCCTGTAGATACTGTCTTGGGAACACCCACACCCCATAGAGGAGCTGCCCTCTTTAATAGCCTGGATTCCTAAGATCCATCACAGATCATGCGCAGTGAAGATGGCTGAGCTGGATAGACCCAGCAGATAGACATTTTGAGAATCAACTTTTAACTGGTTAATACAAGTTGACACCATGCCACTAACACCTTCCAGTTTGGGAAGACAACTCTATCCTTTGCTGCTTGTGGTGAGCGTCACAGAACTGCCTGGCTGAATTCCAAATACTGATCACGGGGGAGAACCAGGCATCGTATTACTCTTGACAGGTTTGACCTTGAGCCTAAATTTCTCGATAACTCCCTACAAATTATGAGTTCTGACATTTTATCTGCAGCAATTATTCACATTCAGTGTGGTTTTACTTGTGGCCAAGTTAAACACAGGAACCCATCAGCTGTGTGCCTATTCAGGAGGAAATCTGGGGGGATGTGGAGCTGAAAATGGTCTAGATTGGCTTCCATAAATTATCACGGACAGCTACTTTGACAAATTCTCTTACGACACTTCAGGGTGCAGAGGCTAAATCAACAGGTTACTAATTTTCTTCCAAACTCGGTCAAAAGCCCTTCATGCAACACCAGGCTGAGTGCTCAGACCAGTTCCTCACTTCCTGTTTTCTTTCCCTTGGCTTTTCAGGACACCATCAAGAAGGAGAAGGCAAAGATTACTGCAGTAAACTTGTCCATACAATTAACCAAAAGACTCGCATTTTTAAGTCATAGCCAATATGCTACATTTTATCTAGTTTATTATCATCTTGTAATTATGAAGTCAACTTGAATTCCCAGCCATCCATAAAATAATTCAATCATAGGAGAAAAACATCCCTTCCTCACCTCCTTTCTCACCCCCCGCCAGAGAATCTAAAGTCACCAATACCGCCAGCCAGGAAACACAAGTATCCGGGTCTCCACGACCACAGCCAGCCAGGCCTGAGAACAGGGAGAACGGAGCCTGGAATCAGAGAGGTCTCCAGCTGTCCCAGGTGTCAGGGCAGAAGCAGAGGGTTTTCCTTGGACAGGGAGGGACAGTGTTATATTCTTGCTGTAGCGCAGATTCTAGGATAGAGCAAGGATACCTCGGAACCCCTGTGGTTGTCTGGAAGAGACGACGGCGGCAAGCAGGGGCCACCATGAGTATTTGGGAGGGTAGACCGGAAGAGGTATGAGGACGGGACAAATCCGTAGGGAACAAGGTCCTTTCTGGCCTCCCCATCTGGACAGCCGATGCTGCTCCCTGGAGAAGAGATCCAGGCATGGGGTGTAGGCAGAGCATGTGACTCAGTGTGGGATGTGCTCCGGGGCCCTCTGAGCCTATCAGGAAGGGAAGGGGCCGGTGTGGGCAGCTGGCTCACAGGAGAGGTGTGCGCTGGAGGACACCCCCAGCACCTCTTAGGAAATGTTCATTACACGTGTCACTTACAACAGGGACACAGAAGAGCCTCTGGAAGAAATCTTGCTCCCTCCTAAGGCCCCCGAGGCCCAGACACCAGGCTCTGTAGTGTGGTGTAGAGAGAAGGCACTTGGCACAATGCGGGATCCTTTAAATATTTGTTCCTCGGTCACTGTCTAAAAGGAGAGGCTCAAAGCTGCCTATGACAGGGGAGCCAGGGGAAAGAGGGAAGGAGGAAGCATGAAAAAGATGGGTGACCCCATCCTACCGAAGCCCGCGGCAGTTCATCTCTGGCCCACAGCTGCATGCAGCACTCCAGAAGGAAGACGAAGGGGGTCTGGGGCCAAACTGCTCGGATTCCCATACCGGCCACGGGGACGCAGGCACAGTACATCACTTCTGGGCCTCCGTCTCCTCTTCCAAAGCACAGGGCACGTCCTCAAGGCAGCCTCAGAGAGGGGCGGAGGACTCGGTGAAACCACAGGAGAAAGGCCTGGAGCACAGCCCCTGGCCACGGTGCGCACTCTCTGAATGGTGGCCGCTGCTTTCCCCAGCCACCCAATTGCTTCAGTGGCCATCCCGAGAGGTGCTGTTCCCCAGAGGGGTTCTGGAAAATGAAAGCTTGCCCCGCCTCCTAGCAGTTCCCGTGACCTCCAAGATGCGCGTGAGATTTCTTCCCTGAGTCCCCTTCCCTCGTCCTCCGCATCGGCCCTGGCTTCCATCAGCTCCTGGCCTCTCCGCGTGCAGTCCGTCTCCTGTCACTGAGAATTCCACTTGCGGGGTCAGGGTTTGTTTCTCGTCCACCTTGGCGTTGTCTCACGGCCCTCAGCCCTGTGCCTTATGCACCAGAGGCCTTCTTGCGATGAACTTAATTATATTTTCCTGAATCGAGCTTGAGAGAGACAGAGAGAGAGGTAACACTTGAGTTAACTTGTGCCCCATGCCTCTGGAGCCGGATTCCTCAGGCTTAGCAACAGTTGGGGCTGTTATGTTTTATGTTTTTTAAATGTAACTCTGGGCTTTACTTACTAGTGAAGTAATTTTATACACTATAGAAAAGCTGGAAATCCAAAAACTAATAGAACAAAAATAATAATTGACTGTAATTCAACTAGAGAACATCTCTTTCAGGGATTCTACCTGTATCTATTTCACATACCTATATGTGTTCCTTCTAAAATGACTTTTTTTCATTTAACATTATTCCAAGAGACTTTTCCCATAATTTATGTATTAGTCAAGTATTATTTAAAATATGGTTTCATCTCCCAAAGTAGGTATCCCTGCATGTAAATATTTGTCCACATTATCTCTTTCTCCAGAACAAACTTCCCAGGGATGGGATTTCTTTGTTAAAGGGTACAATCCCAGATAATCAGGAGGCTGAGGCAGGAGGATCACAAGTCCAAGGCCATCTCGGGTGGTATAGCTCAGTCGTAGGGCACTTAGCCATCACACGTGAGACCTCCACTCCAAGCCTAATACCTAAGGGGGGAAAAATAAATTTGAGCTCATTTTAAATCATTGGTATGTTATGAAATTCCTTTTGAGAACGAGCATAGCACTGGAAGCCACCAGCAGCCAGAGAGGAGGAAGGCACGGACGTCCGCACCCTCTTAGCATTCAGGTGTTTTCCTTTTCGCCATTTGGCCTGAAAAGTCCGCGCCAGTATTGTTCATTCCTCTGATCACCGGTGACAGGTCCTGCCTTTGGGAGCTGTCTGCCTCACTTCCGTCCTGACAGGTGAAGTCCTTCTTGGTCTTGAGAGCTCTGTGTAAGGAAGAAATTTACCCGACTTCTGAATCTGTCACAGGTGCCGTTTCTCTGCAGCTTGCCTTTTAAATGTTTCTGCTTTCTGAAATTCGTATTTGAAATTTTCATACTGCTGATTCCGTCACCCATTCCTTACTCCTTAGTATCTTGATTGTGTGTATATTTAAACAGTGTTTGGATAGCGTGAGATAAATGAGCTATTCACCTATTGGGGGCTGTTTTAGGAGTCTATTTTCATAAGTAACTCGCTGTGAATTTTAGCTTAAAAACCTTTATAAAATTTTTAAATTATATTTTTAGATTAACTTATAAAATTATATATCAATATACTAAAATTCGTATACTAATAAAATTACATGTAAAAAATGTAGAGTAGAAAGTAAAATTCATCCACCATCCCATTCCCATACAATTGGGATTCCTGTTTTTGAAATATTGTTCTAATCCTTTCTGATGTTTTTTCCTTACCTATTGATCCTTCCAAATAAATGTTGGCATGATTGTTGTGTTTCAAAGGAAAATTGATCCCAAAGTCTATTGATTAAGAAGGTAAGTTGATAGATTAATTGGAAAAGCACTGATATTTTCACAAACTTTTTAGATTTTTTGTCCCTTCTATAAAAATAACTGGTTCATGCCTTATTCTGCGGATATCAAAACACATTTTTCTAGTTTTTACCATGTAATGTTTCTTATAATGTTTCTCCTAGGTATCTTGGGTTTGCTGATGATTAAGGGGATTCCTTTCTGATGTTTTTTCCTTACCTATTGATCCTTCCAAATAAATGTTGGCATGATTGTTGTGTTTCAAAGGAAAATTGATCCCAAAGTCTATTGATTAAGAAGGTAAGTTGATAGATTAATTGGAAAAGCACTGATATTTTCACAAACTTTTTAGATTTTTTGTCCCTTCTATAAAAATAACTGGTTCATGCCTTATTCTGCGGATATCAAAACACATTTTTCTAGTTTTTACCATGTAATGTTTCTTATAATGTTTCTCCTAGGTATCTTGGGTTTGCTGATGCAATTAAGGAAGTGGGTGGATTCTTTGTTTTTTTAACTTCTACCTGGTTATTGCTGGTAGAGGTGAAGCCGTTGCTTTTTCTCCACTGTGTGCTTAGCTCATCCTCTCCCACACACTGATTAGAGGCTTTATGGGTTACTCTCTGACGTCACCAGGGACCCTGGGTTTTCTCCCACTTCTGCAGCCACCTTTAAGTGTACATATTATTTACCCTGCTGCTTAAGTGACTAACACTCCTAGCTTTCAAGGAGGTTCTCTCCCCCTTTTAATTAGGAGTGGGTGTTGAATGTTATCTAACACCTTGGTAGTGCGGGCTACTTATATATTCTGTGTAATTATACCTTTTATCTATATAAACGCCCCCTTTGTTCTATTTAATAAGTCCCCCCCTTTGAATCTTCCTTGTCTGAGATAGAATCTACACCTCTGCTTTTTTAAAACAAAACGATTTTTTCACTTACATTATTTGTTAATTTTTTGGCCTATCCCCTCATTTTTAATCTCTCTGCCCCCTGCTTTTCAGTATCTCCAGCAGTTAAACAGCTAATCAGTATTGGCCTTGTGCCTACTTGGTGCCCAGCCTTGGATTAAAGCCCTGAGCTGTGGACAGGGGGACGAAGAGAGCCTAGCTTGAGGCAGGCACCACTGCGGCCGGTGTGAGGCAGCCGCAGTCCCTGGGAAGGCCTGGTTAGCATGAGGGCCCAGCAAGGCTGCCAGAGGTGACAGATTTGTCACGCGGATGTGCACACAAGATGACCGGAAAAGAGTCCACCCGTCAGGCCTCAGGCAGATAGGGAGGTGGCAAGCTTTTGGGTCCAGGCGGGTCAGCACCCCATGGAGTTTGGGGATCACCCTAGGACACCATCCCACATTCTGAAAACAGGATGCTTCTCCTTTACTCTGTCTGTCTCTATCCCCAAGAGTTTCTGCTACCCATGGTTTCTGTTTTGCTCCTTTCTTCTGCATGAGTAACACCCTACACCAGCTGAGTCAGGGGCCCTGCTGGGTACTGGCAAATCTGCAAGGGGGAAAGTAAAAAAGACTCATCCTTGAGAGGAGTATTGCCTAGAGGGTGGAGAGGATGACACGACCCAGCACCAGATGGCTTCAAGTGAGAGAAAGCACTGCCCAGGAGTCTCGCTCCGGTGGCTTCTCATTAAATCCAAAGCTTTCCCTGTGTGCCCTTGGCTTACTTCCTGTACCATCCCTGGCTCCCGGGCTCCATCCTCCTGGCCTCCATATTCCTCAAACGCTGCCTCCTCCAGGCCTCTGTACTGGCTGATCCGTTGGCCTGGATACTGCTGCCCCTGTGTCTGCGTAGCACGTGCCCCACCTCTCTCCAGTCTGAGTGCCGTTTCCTCCACGCATCCTTCTCCGAACATCTCTCTCGTGAGGCAGCACCCCTCCCTCCCACCGGTCACTCTTAAGCCCTGCCTGGCCTTGTGCATATATTCACCTGAGCTCATTCATCTAAGACCGTCAGCACAGGGAACAGCAGATGTTCAATAAGGACTGGCTGCAAGAACCAAGGAAGCAGCAATGAAGGGGCAAGGATGGCTGGGCTAAGTGACCTGGACGAGAAAGGCACCATCTTGGGTTGGGGGCGGGCCCCAAAGGATCCCTTCCTCTCTCAAACTCACCACTCAGGTGGAAGAGTGTGGGGTGGGGCGAGGAGGATGAGTGGAAACCACCCTTCCATCCCACAACACATTGTGTTCCATCTTGTCTCGGGCTCTTGCTGATGTGATTTCCGTCTTTGTCCTTATAATTTAAATTGTGCCAAAAACATGTCTGAAAGTGGCACCATTTCCCCCCCGCTTTTTTTTCTGAAACTTGATATGCTCCATTTCTTTCTGCCCCCTGAGGTCCTCTCCGATTCTGAGAAGACAGCTTACATCTTGCATTCTTCTGTCTGCCTTTTCTTTGGAGTCCTCCCCTTACTCTGAGTTCTGGAAGAGCTTCTCAGATTCACATGCAAGTCATTGATCTGGGTTTCTGCAATGCTGGTTCTGCCCTTTTTCACAAGGGTCCATTTTAATTCTGCTGCTCCGGTGCCGGTGTCCCGTGGAAGCTTTCTTGACTCCAGGTCAGGTTTGTGCTCAGTTGTCTCAACCTCAGCCTCTCCTTTCCAAGGACTTTCTACTCTTTTCCCCACAGGCTTTGTTTGTCTTCTTGCATGGTCTACTAAACTTTTCTTCTGGTTGCTACAGTAAGTCATTTTCAGAAGCACATCTTTCCTCTGAACTTTATGAACATTTTTTTCACTCATTCAGCAGTATAATTTACTATCTACTGCTGATCTCTGAGCCAAGTCTTTGAAGCAACCCAAGGTCAGCAGGTCTGTGTCTCCATAAATGGTAGAATCGGGTTGGAAAACTAGGCAGTAGAAGGGGTGATTTTAATCGTGACAAGTGCCATGGATAAGACGTGTGTGTTGTGTTATCAGAGCACATACTAGGAACATAGAGCCTTGGTTAGGACAGAAATGGAGCAGGAAAAGGATACTATGTTCTCCTATTTCTTATAGCCCATTCTACTGAGTTTTTCCCAACTGCAGTCACTCTCAATGAGCCATGATTGATTCAGGCCTCTAGTGTGTGACAGATGCAATACTGAGCTCCCTGTGGTTCTTGACACTGTCCAACTGAGTGTTGCGCCCGTCCTTTCAGATCTACAAGCAGACAGAGGCTGACACACACAGTGTCTGGCCCAGTGTGCACTGTAGAGATACGAGTAGTTTCATGCCTGTCCTTAGGTAAAGTCCTCTATCCTCACTGCGTTGCCTCTGACACCCTGAACTAATCTGTCCTGTCCAGGTGAAACTAAAATCCAGTAGGCAATGCTTCTGGGCCTTTTCCGGAGGACATAAGTCCAGAGTGAACAGTTCTCACACATGACCCCTCCCAGGACAAGTCAACATGAACTGGTACAGAGTTCGTGGGAAACTACAAAGTCACGGTGCCTGTACACCACCGTATCACAATTGGCAGCAGCAACCTGAGTGATGTAGGGAAGTGGGAAGTTGAGGCACTACCCACTAGAGCCCCAGTAAATCAGAGTCTAAGGAACAGAAAACAAACATTCATTTCTTGAAGGAGAAATGAAGTACAGGCTAGTGCATAAGAAGAATAGTACAAGGTTTCCAGGAGTTCAGATAAATATTTAAACTTGTTAGGAATTACGAGTCTCTTGGAATGCTATGCATCATTAATTCCAAGGCAGGGAGATTAACAATGAGTTGGTGGAGAGATGGCCTCCTGAATTATTCTCTTAATGGAGTTCCCAGGTTAAAGTAGATTTCATTTAAGGTCAATCAATAGGCAATTTTATCCAGGCTTGATGATTAAAAAGAAAACCATAAAGAAGTCTTGCGTAGGTAATCATTCTGGCTCAATCAGACCTTCCTTTAGACCTGGAAAGGACTGGATGGAGGCAACAGTACAGATTAAGGCAGGAGCTCCAGGCCCCATTTTTATCACCCCAAGTGAGTGTAACTCCCCCCCACACTCACCCAGCCAGATGGATCAGTCCACGTCCCCAGGCAAGAAGAAGAAATTCAGGCTCCTTTCTTTTCTGGTACATGAGGCACATTGCAATAATTCCAATTAACATGTAGATCCAGTTTATTTCTTGAATTCCCAATGATCGGTCACAGTGAATTAGTATGAGTCAGAATTTTCATTTGACGGAAGTGATTATATTAGGGCTCCTGTGCGTCTCCAGGTCCCTCCAGCCCTCCTTCTTTATTAGAGGTAGCCTCGGGAAATCAGAAGAAAATGAGAGTCCAGGATCATGCATCTCAGTGATCCGCCATTGACTCTGTTAGGAAATTAGGGGTAGGCAGAGGTTTCCAGAAAATGGAATTGCCTTCAGGTCTTGAAGATGGATTCAAGTGCTTTCAAAATGCATTCAGGAATTATAACATTTCAAGGAAAAGGGGTTTCCTTTCCCCTCATTTATCCTCAGAGAGTCAAAGGAACCAACATTCGTTTTCTGAAATGTGAGTCCTTAGGAATGAAATATCGCATCTTTCTTTCCTTATATATATTTTTCTTTTCTTAATAGTCCAAGACTTTTTCTAAAAGTATGTTTTACCTGATCCAGCATTTCGAGTTTATTAGACGAGTTTTTCCAAGACTTGCTATTTATTTTCGCAGTCTGGCTTTTCACCAAGGGAAGAGAATGAAGAAGAAAGATCCCATTGGCATGTGATATTTTTAATAAATTGGGCTTTAAAGGGGCTGTTGGTTGGCAGTTCATGCACACACACAAACAATTGCACTCCGTAGCAGTTTCCACATTAAAAAAGAAAAATCCCTGTTGTGAATCTAATGATGAAAAAAAGCCCCAGATCTCTCCTTGTTGCTTATCAAGAATCAAAATAGGAACAAGGAATGTTTGAAACAATGCAGAAATGGCACTAAGGAAGTGAAATTTCTATGAGGAAAGAGAATACATCATGTGTCGCTGGGAGAGGTGTTTGCATGCGAATATATTTTTCAGATTGATACTCACAGGCAAGAAAATAATGACGTTAGGCAGCTGAAGGCTTCATATAATCCTTATTTCCCCAAAGGCCAGAAAAAATCTTAGGTACTTCCTTTGGAGACAAGGATATCGTCTTGAAAAACTTTAATTGTTATTACTCTTGAAAAGGTTTGTGATCGCTTTTGGATACATTTATTAAAATGATAGATGAGGAACAGTGACAGCGAAAAAAGAAGCCTCGTTTCCAGTTCCTCTGAAATTTTCAGCTCTCTAACAGGCTGGCAGTGACTGAGAATGGCACTCAACTCTCTAAACCATTCTGCAGCAGCTCTTTGGAGCTGAGGCCCGTGTGAAAGTGTGTGTGTGCCGGACTGCAGAGCACACCCCACCACGCCAGTAAACATCGTAGAATCAGCATTTGAGAGGCTCCGAGAGAGGGCTGGAATCCAAACCCAGAAACAGAGGTGAAGCTGCTGGAACACCTACATGCGCAGGTCGAAGGGCTGGATTTTTCTTTTTTCCCTTGCATTGATCTTAGATATTGACAGCTGAGATGTACATCTTTATCATTCTTCTTGCCTACAAAAGAGTATTACATATACGTGAATACAACATTGTGTTTTACTTTCCAACTCTGCCAAGACTGAACCCTGGACTATTACAGAACACGCACAAAGTAGGAGAGAGAAATTGTGAACTGCATTCTCCTTCAGCAATACAACCACAGCCCTAACCCCTTTTGCTCTGGAATTCTGACTTCAAGCAGAGACCAGAGTGAAAGTTGAACTGAATCTCAATTATAAGACACATATGTGAATGGGCGCTTTCATGGCATTTATGGAGTTTGGTCTTTTCTATAATTTACTTAATTCTGTTACTAAAAAGAAAATTCTTTTTTTTAACCCCTAAATTCAGCTATAAGAGCCCAAAGAGGTTTGAACAGTGGCAAACTGTAATAAATCATTTTAAACGGGAAAACATTTTCACAAAAGTAAATCAGAGCCATTTCACTCCCTTAGAACTTGACTTTCCGTTCGTTTCAGGAGGTTTTCAACTTCAAGATGAATAGACTAATTGGAAAGTAATTTATCTGAGTTTAAAGTTGGCCATATGAGTGAATGCAGAATTTAAAACAGAGCGCAAAGATAAGGGAAGTAACACCGCTTATTGTGATGGCTTCCACACAAGTACATCTTCAGTCCATGGAGATCGACCGCTTGGATGACCAGACTGCCAGGGGAATTAGAGGGCTGGGGATTAGATCCCAAAGCACGCGCCAAATCCAGAGTGGCCCTGGGGACTGTTGTGTGGCCGAACCAAGGAGGGTGGAATATGGTGTCTACTACATAAAAGAAGACATAGCGTGGCCAGAAGCCATCATCAGAAAGACATCACGTTCACCCTTTGCCTGAGAAACTATAACTCATTTTTATACTTCCTAATAGCTTCCAGTTAAAGCGCAAATGTTTTATAGCCTGGCCCCCATTTCTTCCAATAGTACCCTCAGTTGCCCTTATCTATGCTTTTAACAGCGGCTTCCCCTACCCCTGTTTCAGGGTCCACACCCAAGACTCTGTTCAAGGCTCTTTCTTTCCAATCCTTCCCTGACTTCCTTGACTGATCTCCTTTGCTTTTCTTCTTTTATCTTCCCACAGCACCTTGTGCTCCCCGGCACATAATCCCTGGCTAATTCTCAGGGCACCTTCACCCCCGACTCACTCCCAGCTCAAGGATGGACTCCTCCTCCATCTCTGTACTTCTCCTGCTGGGCTGGATGCT